GGCGGGGCCTGGCAGCCCCATCTTCGGGGCCGGGGCAGTCCGGGGGTGCGGGCGAAAGAGCCGCCGCTGGGGCGAAACGCGTGACCTTCCGTGGGGGGCAGCGAAGTGTCTGTCAGCCAGCCCTTTTCCCCTGTAGAATGAGAAAAAGGGTGGCCCCGGGTCCCTGCCACCCTTCCCACAGCTACTGCCGGGAGTGGGACTGGGCCAGGGCCCCTCTGCTCCCCCTCAGCCCCAGCAGTGGGGCTGGAAGGAAGAGGGGGAGGTGATGCTGCACAGGTGCTGTATTTGTCTTCGTTCTTCAAAAATCCAGTTTTTATGAGTGTTAACCTAGGGAAAGCCTAGTGCTACTGCATTATGTGTACACTTAGGAATCCATCAGAGGATGGCCTGAAGAGATTCATGGTAGAGACTGAAAGTTTATGAGTTTACTCTGCAGGCACGAAGCCCGTGCTCAGTGTTAGCCTCTGAGGTTGTGCGGACTTCTCTGGGGATGTGCAGAAGCCAGCAGGATTTGAGGAAGGATGGGATGCAGGGATGTCTGATTTAGCATGGGAGAGGGTTCCAATAAACGATTAGTGCTAAACAGCGTAGGCTAATTAGAGTAGTAGTAGGTTCAACAAATATCTAATTTCTGAGCATAAGTTGCAAACCTCTCTGTCTCGTTCTCAGGTAATAATTAGCTAACGGCTTGAGTGTGTTTTGCAGTGAAACTGTACCGAAATGGGTCCATGAAGTTATTCGGCCGATAGCAGCAGAACTGGAGTTCTTTATGCCCCAGCCCTTTGCAGGAGAAATTCTGGGAATGTGCAAAGCGCTGGGAATAAGTCTGGGAGATGGAGTTCTGCTTAACTTTGCTTATGAGTCCACAGCGTAAGTATCTGATACTGATAGAATCTGATAGAAGCAACATAGAGACTGCTTCTAGTTCGTTTAAGGCATATGCTTGAAGACACATGGGAGATTAATTGCATAGGTCATTCTCTTCTGATTTTATATATTCAACTGGAAAGTTTTATTCTCTCCTTAGGCAGTTTGTGTGCTGAATTGAAGAAGGCACGTTGCAGAGCAGTATTTTTCTTTATTAGTAATGGTAGCACGCAACCATTGTGTTTGTGTGTTCATCTACGTGTATAAAAATGTAAAAGTATGAACATCACTTTTGCTAGTAAGGAAGGACCATCCATTCAAACTTTTTTAGTTTGTTACTCTTTCAAGATAAATCTCATGTATTCCTTTGTCATTTAAGTTGTTGGATTTCACCAAAACAGAAACTGGAAGAATTAGCTGTGCCTTAAAAAAACATAACACAATAATTTACTTAGGCTGTTAATTACAGTTAAACCATTTAGCTAGGATCAACAAAGTTGCTTCCAAAACATTGTCTGGATGGACTGTCACAATGGCTATATAATGTAATTTTTTTGATTTTTCACAATGCAAAAGGGAGGTAGTTACCTTTATGAAAGCAAGCAAAACTTCAGTGGAAAAAGTACTCGCTTTCAGTTTCAGTTCCTGCACTAGAAGTACGTGCAGGAGGATAATAAGAAGCGCTCTAAGTTGTCTATGAGGGTCATGAAAAATAGTTCTCCATCTTTGCTTTGATAAAAAATAGGTGCATACAGGCACTTCTTCACATTTTTATTATTACTTTTCCTAATCTGTGATATTCAGTTAATCCTTTTAATGAAATGATTTTACTGTTTATACCTGATAAGATAGTCATTTAAATGCTAGCTCTTTTAGTTTTTCATGGAGGGCGCTCACCATCATGAGCCGCAGTAAAGCTGATGAAAGTTTAAGATTCTCAGCACTAACAATTCTAAAGGAAAAACAGCAACCAGGAAAAAACTACTTGTCTGCATCTACAGCTCTGAAAGGCAGTGCTTTGCATCACTGGTTTGACAAACTTATCATTCCAGAGAACAAAAGTTTTGAATTTCCTACTCATTAAATATGCTTAATTAGAAGAAAGAAAACAAAAAAAAAAGAAGTTTCCACAAAACTGAAACTCTTAATGTTCAAAAAGTAATTTCAGCGCATGTCCTGTTCTGGAGGTAAGGGCTGGCTATTGTTGAAAAGGCTAATGTGAAAATCAGCTGGTGTTTTCAATTTAAGAGGATTTTGTTTGAACTTTTAATCTAATTGTGATTAAACATATAAACAGGATCCAAATTAAAATGAAACGGTCTAGCAAAATGAAACTTAAAAAGTTTCAGCCTGATGCTTTGTGGACGTTTTTAGGTGTCACGTTTTCATCTTGATTTTGAAAAGGTAAGTTCTGAAATGATTAAATATTTTCCAAGTAGAAATGGTGCTACCTACCTGGTTTGTAATATCTGACATGATGCAGATAGTAGTAGGGATTTTGACTTTCTGAGCCGAGTGGGACCTGATAAGTTAAGTATTGTGCAATTTTGGATGTTAAGAGTTCTCTGGAGAAAGGGCTCTCACGTGGATATCATGCATGAGTTACGCAGAACATTGTAGTGTTATCTAGTTATGTAGAACTTGAGTCAAATCTATCTGTGCCATCTTTTTTTTTTTTTTTAATTAGAAGTGAAAGTTCTTAAGAAATTCTGTCAAGAAGTACAGGAAGAGACTATTGTCTCAGGTCAGGAACTGCAAGTATTAGTGATGTAACGTGAACTCCTATTTGTATGCTTATGTTAGTAAAATACTTTGCAAAAAATAGATATTCAGTTACTGCTCCTGAAATGTTATGCTAGTCTGACTAGACTATAACATGGGAAAGTGTCACCTTAGTTTTTCTTAAATCATTCTTTCTGCTTTTTGTTTTGAAGGTTCTGTACCAGTATTGTTGCTCAGGATGATAAAGGAAACATTTACCATGGTCGGAACCTGGATTATGATTTTGTAGATATATTAAGCAAGATTACAATTGATGTGCAATTTATAAAAAGTGGGCAGGTATGGTCTGTGGTTGACATGACTGGGTGGTAATCTCTGGAAGAATGGTATACAGCTGTACAACGGTGTAGAGAACAGAATTTAGCGTAAGAATACCAACTTACTGAGTTATCAGAATACTGCAGTGCATCTCTCTCATCTCAGGCGCAAGATGAATGTTGGGTTATTTTGCTTTCTGAGCATCCAGTTAGTGATGAAAAATAGGAACAGATAGAACAGCATAAATAATCTAGCATCTCAAGATTGTTATTTAGAAGGAAACATCGGAAGAAGAAAATATCAAGACATTTAACAACCAGAAGAAATACTAGAGAACATAGAGAAGAGATCAGTTTTGGTAGGGAGAGAGATCCCAAAGCCTTTTTCAGATGTTAATTTTCATGGTTAATGTGTTTGGTTTAGATGCTGAAAATCACCAAAAATGAAGCAGTTGTTAATGCAGTCCTCTTCAATATAGTTTTTCTTAATATTCATTACTCATTTTAGCAATGGAGAATTCATTGTTTCTTTCTTAACCAGCTGCTACAAAAATGTTCCAGGTATCCAAATTCCAAATTAAATGTGGTGAATTTTGGTCCGTAGGGTGTTTTTATAATTTATTTGGTGAGGTTTTGTATATCTGGAGGCAAAGTATTCGTGGTGACTTCTAAAATGATGTATGAAATTCACAGAAAAAATACAGGATGCTGTTTCAGAATGTTGCTTGTGTTTCTCTGTTCCAGAATGCTAAAATACTGTGTTTTCTGATTTCAGATAGCGTATCAAGGCACCACGTTTCTTGGTTATGTAGGCTTATGGACTGGACAAAGCCCGTACAAGTTCACGATCTCTGGTGATGAACGAGGTAAAAATAAATCCATCTTCCACACTTGACATCATGTCACTTGAATGTTGCCTCTTCCAATGCTGTTGCCTCATTCTCCCAGAGGGAAAATGCTGTATGGATGCCAGGAAGGAGCTGAAATTCAGACAGCTTCTCTGGCCCTCAGGGAGTAAAGGCGCATGTAATGCTGCTTTTTGGCTGCTGTGTAGAAGACAGGTATTTGTCAGCACAGTGTCATTTGAGCTTGAAAAATTTCAAGGGAGACTGAGAACCTTGGGGAAATCGGGAAGAGACAAATTCATGTGATCTTTTCAAGAGACACAACTGCAGAAGGCAGAGCAGGGGCAGAGAGAAAAAAGTTGCACTGTCCTGCATAGTAATTAAACAGCTGCTTCCCGAGGCGCTCTCTGCCTTTCTGTGTTCCATTTTTATCTGTCCCCATAAGGCAACTTGAGAGGGTGGGAAGAGAAGCAAGCAGAAGGCTGAAAGATCTAGGGGGAATGCAGTGGGGCTTGAGAGAATGCCTGCAGATACTGGAAAGGCAGTTGAGGAAAGATTAGGGAGCAGAGGAAAGATGAGAAGTGTCACTGCTGAGAACTAACGCCTGATGATAATAGAAGGGCTTAAAGTCAGGAAGGCAGAGGAAGGGTCACTGCCATATCCTTCAGCGCTTGAGTTTCATAAGCATTGATAGACATGTCCAAATCAGCTTGGGTCATCACCCCCCTTCCCCTGTTCCCGCCCCCCCCCCCTTTTTTTTTTTTTTGAAGAAGCAGTCATTTTATGCTGTTCTTTGCAGGCTGTTTGTATGAACCAGGAATGATCTAGTGTGAGTTAGAAACCGCATCTAAAATAAATGTTTATTTTTCAATAGGGGCAAGCAAATTTTCTTTTTTAATGTAGACAATCTTTTGTTTTCAGAATTCTTTGTAGATGTTGTATGATCAGTATCCAATCTATATATATACAAATTAACTGTCCCTAGGAGTAGGGATTCTGGTATGGAGCACATATACCTCTTGATTCCTGTTTTCTTTGTTGATATTACCTTACTGCATTCTCTAGAGTCTTATCGCAGTTTATACACTTTTTTTTTAAACATTTTATTTCTGATGCTAGTGTAGTAGTTTAATCCAAAGCTGGACTGTTATGGGCTAATACTGAGAGATACTAACTGCCTTTAATTCATGCGAAAATAGAAATTGGGTCTTAGGCGTACTGAGTTTTTGTAAAGGGCTTGATTCAGAAAATCGTGCAGACCAAGATTCTCTGTCTGTGAATAGATATATCCAGGGGACAAAGGTGGTGCTGTCCTGTTCTCCCTACCATTCCTCAGCAGTGTGCTTCAAACCTCAGTATAAGGTCATTTGAGACAGCACTGAGATGGTGTAGTTCATGCACAGACCCATTCTGTGCACCTGACCCTGCAACAGGAATGAAGGACTGCAAAGCTTTGTGTGAAATGGGCTCCTCTTGTCCCTCACAAACTGATGTGCCATCATCCCACCTGTATGCTTTGACCTTTGTTACTTTTAAATTATAGATAAAAGTCATTCACTCAACGTATGTGGCGCTTTGTAAATGAGTTGATGCTGCCTGCTTGCTTTTTTATGTATCCCTGTACAGTTGAGCTAAAACTGAGGGAAGTGAAAGTATGATTTATTGCTGGAGAGGAGGATGACTCTAAATTAGGATGAAGGTCTCTCAAGTGACAGAACATGGGTTTTTTTATGCTGACTTTTTCTATTTTCTTTGGCATATGATTAATTATAAACTTGACCTTCATATTTCCGATGTTCTTAGTTTTCCTAATTTTCTCCAGAAACACTCAGTTGTTATCACTGCCTTTTTTGTGGCTATTTTAAGATTTTTGCGCAATCCTGTTGTAAAATTTCAATAAGATAAATTATGAGGTAATTTATGCTAATGTTTGAGCTGACAGCGGTTGTTTATTATATAATCAGTAGAGCTGCAGTCCTCTTGACAGTATGCTTTAGGAAATACTACTCCCTGTTACGTTAGCCTTTGACTTTTCATTGCTCAGCATTCGGCTATGAATAAAAATTGTTTCTAAATTGAGAAGCTAGAAGATCATCTTGAGAAGCTGGCAGATCATAAATACCAAAAGGGATGCGATAGTTTTTGATTGAAATTGCTAGCACTAACTTGTTCTGAGAGACATCGTGTGTATTCTGTTACGTGCTGAATATGCTTTCCACTTACATTACAGTTGGTTTCAGGTCCTCTGCGTCTCATTCACGTTGTGGTTCCTGCAGTGGTTTCCTTGAGGTCTTTTGTTCTAACTTAAGTAGAGAGCAGAGGATCCATATTCTGTTTACTGCAGTCCTTTTAAGCAGTTTGCTCTCTCTGCAGCTCCATGTGAGTTCTTAAAACTAAAATCGCTAAAGCTGATGGTGAAATCATTATAGGTATCTGCCTGGAAATTGAGATTCCTGAAGTACTGAGGGTGGTCTTGAAAGAGAGATCTCTGACTTGAGAGCGTATTTTGTGATGGAAAGCTTTCAGATTGGTTGAGTTTGTTGCTCTAGCTCTCTTGAATCTAGCACCATATCCAAACTGTTCTATCATCTTTTTTTTTTTTTTTTAATTTTATCTTCTCACCTCCCTATCATTTTACTGTGCCAACTTATGGTAACTTTCAGAATAGACTGAAAATCTACAATCCCAATCGCTTACGTCATTACGGATCCTGAGATGTGTTCTAAAAAGCAGGGGTGTTAATCCAGCTGTCCCTGGCTGAACTTCACTTGGGATTATGTAGTCTATTTATATTTTGCCTGTAGTTTCAGGTAGAAGTTGTGCTCATCAGCTCATTTCCTGAAATGCTGTCATTTCATGTTGATATGTAGCTACCCTGTTTCACTGAGGACTTAGCTTTCTGTGGTACTTCAGTCACATACCTAACGATTTAGAAAACTGCAAAATTGTATGGCTGCGCATTTGAAAGATGAATTTTCTAAAGTGAAGGCCTTTCAGGATATGTTAGCCAGGTTATGCAGCATGTGCTGCAGTTTTATATATAGCTATCGGTGAAGTAATATATAGTAACAGAAAAGGAGCATTCCCAGCATTCAGTGTTCTGAGCAGTGTTGATAAACCCAGGATGGCACCAGAGGTGCCTATTACTTTGAAGTGGCATGTACTTTGCCAGTTTGGTGTAAGCTGCGTAACTTTAATGATATGATGATAATGGTGTAGCAAGAGAATTTATTGCACTGCTTTTTTGTAACGCCGTGGAGGCAAAGAGTACAGAGCTAGACATGTAAAAGAAAGGAAGACAGAAAGTCTTCACAGAGTGTAAGTAACATGCATGTCTAATGATTTTTTTTTTCTCCAAGAGGGTGGTAGATGGTGGGAAAATGCAATAGCTGCTTTTCTGAATCGAAATTACCCAGTCAGCTGGCTTGTCCGAGACGTAAGTGCACTATGTTCTCAGGTTTCACAGTCATGTCATTTGAACTTAAGAACTCTAACAAATTTGATGTTCCAACTGCTATTTATACAGAAAATGTAATAGATTCATAAATAAATGCATGTTTCAAGGGGATTAGGTCTTGATCCTAAGTCGTCAGCGATATGTATGATAGAGGCAATTCTTGTCTTTTGAGGGGCTAACTCTTCCCAAATTTTTGGCACTTCCCGAAAGTGCCGAAAAATCTTCGACAGCTGTGCAAAAGCTTCCATCCCAAGGAATATTTCAGCTGGGGGGGAGGGATACAATAATGTGACAGATAGAGCAGTTGCTCTCTTAGATGATGACCCAGTAGTTATTTTACACTACGTTTGATATGTTATCAGTTAACTCTGTATTCTCAATATGTTGAGAGGCACTCCTTAGACTGGTGTTTTGTATAACACATTTTATGAACAGTGTGTTAGGGTGTCACTAGGATAAAACAGGTCCGCTGCTTCTCAGAATCCTCAGTTATAACAAACATGAATGATTTGGTTTGTAGGTAACGTAAACTTCCTGCAGAAATGGAATGTCTGCTGGAGACCTAATTGTTCATATTTTTTGAGTTTGAGGTGTGACTTGAGGCTGTGACTCAAAAGTACTAGCTACAGTGCTGCTGTCAGAAATAATTAATTGTTCTCCAAGGCTTTCCTTGTCTGTCTGTCTTAACAGTTTTGTTGGCCTGAGAACAGTAGCTTTGTTGGCCCAGATAGAGCTATTCGTATATGTATATGCATGTATTTTTTGTTTTCTTTGAGTATTTTCTAAGCTGGGGTTATTGAGTTCAGTTACTAGTCGTATTCATTTCACGTTCATATGCTAAAGCTGTGTTGGAAAGTTATATTCAGAAAAATATTTTCAAATAACACTTGGCAGTCAATTATAATTTACAGAAAAGCTGGGACTGTTGGTCTGTTTAGGTTGTCTCAGTACTTGCTTTTGCCCTTGAGTGTGCTGTGTGATTTTTGTTTCATTCTGGCCTTCTTTTTGCACTAGACCTTGAGCAGAGCAGAGGACTTTCAGTCTGCTGTTCTCAGACTAGCTGGCGTTCCCATCATTGCTGAAGTGTACTATATTGTAGGAGGCGTATCGCCCAAAGAAGGCATGGTCATAACAAGGAACAGAAGAGGGCCAGTAGACCTCTGGCCTCTCGATCCTTTAGGTGGAGCGTAAGTAGAAAAAAAAGTGTTATTTTGTCTTTCGTACTCCTTTCTGAGTGATAGGCAGGCATAATAAGAGTGCTTTCTTTAGAGACTCAGGCTCGTCTCTTACTACCGCTTATAGGACAAGCTTAAATGATACCCTCTGAAAGGAACACTAGTCTCTCCTTCCTAGAAAAAGAATGAAACTACCTTGTCGGGTTGGGGCAGTCCAAAAGGACGAGAGTGGAAAAAATACGTGTAGATGTTTGCTTTTTAGCCAAGTTCCAAAAGAAACAAGACTTAAAAGTTTCCTCCTGTCTGTCTGTCAAGTTGTGCACCAGTAATTTCAACACTTATAGGTTAGTTTTGACCAAATGCAATAGAAAGTTTGAAATTTCAGAAAGAATTCTTCCTGTGACTCATGTGAAATCAGCAGCTTAATACATGAGGGAGACCTTAAATAGTTGCCCTGCTATGAGAAACAGTACTTAATTACTCCAGTCTACCGCTAAACATTTGCTTGGCAGCAGCCAGGTGGCTTGCTGGCTCTGTTTGCTCCAGACTGACCCCTGCAGGCTACATTGTACACATACTGATAATGTTTTCTCTGGTCATCTCTCAAAGGTCTGATTTTGCTTTTATTGCAGTCAGTAGTAGTTTTGTCCCTGCCACCAGCAAGAGTCACCAGCAAGAGCTGAGAAGTCATTTCATTTGTGTTTGGTAGCTTAAAAAGGGTGCCATGCGTATCCATTGGGCTCGTGAGAGACGTAGGAAAGAGGCTTTTGAGGGAGCTTCCCCCCCGCCCCCCCCCCACTTTGGCAGTACAGAAATACTGGCTTTTGGCCTTTATTAATTACCTGCTGACACATCTTTTGCTTTTACGTTTGTGTATTATGGTCTAGGTGGTTTCGTGTGGAGACAAACTATGACCATTGGACTACCCCTCCTCCTTTTGATGATCGAAGGTAAATTTAGTTTGGAGCTGCGCAGTGAGATGGCATTTTCATTCTTAAAAAGCACAGACACTTGGGTATATTCTTCTCTAAGCCAGGTGTAGGCTTGTTGAGCAGGCAGCTAATTCAGTTTCTGTAATGCGTCTCAACAGGGAGCTAAGGAGTGCCAGGGGAAAATTTGTGTGACAGTGAATGGGATGCAAGGTGAAAAATCACAGGGGTATAGCATTTACCAACAATTTCCAGAATTTGTTAAAAAACATGGGATTTAGATTTCACAGGGAGAAAGTATTTGATGGCATTATTAAGAGATTCACAGACATCATGCCATCATTAGGCTGTATAGTATGCAAAAAGTTGTTGGCAGTTTCCTGGCTGTTCTGTGCTCATGGTGTAGTGATATAGTAGCTTTGGCAATAAGAGACTAGATTCAGTCACACAGCACTCTAGATTATTTTAGACCAAAATAAGCATTCCAATGTGAAGGCATTTTGTGAGAGATTTTTCACATTCAAGCTCTGTAGCTTTTTGAAACAGTGAAGTGTGTTTAATACTGCATTCTTTTCCTTCAGAACTCCAGCCATCAAAGCTCTCAATGCCACTGGACAGCAGAATATTAATTTTGATACACTGTTTCAGGTATGTCTTTTAAATTCAACATTTTGACGTGTCAGCTTTGACTTAGAATTCTCTTTCAAAGCAGAAGTGCAGTTACGTTTTTGGCAGGGATCTAAAAGCTGTACAAGTAAGGCGTAAAGAAAAAGGTGTATTGCAGGGCCATCTCTGGAGAGTTTAAGACATAAGTTTGTGCATCAACAGCTGCTGTAAGCGAGCTTCATTTCGAAATGTCATCTACTGCTGGACACCCACAAATCAGATTCTTTCACTAATTCATTGTGTGACCTGGGTTGAATCCAGATTTTCAAGGGCCTGTTAGTTCTGGAACTCTTCCTGTCTGGATGCCCAGACTGAGATATCTCGACGCTGTTCTTAAGTTCTTGTGAACTTCATTTAACAAATAGGTGCGTGACTTTTCTGGACAGTCTGTTTTGGTTTCCCACTGAGAATTCAAAAGGAGTAGATCTGAAGCAGTGCTTCAGTTTTCTAGTGAATTAAACACAATTAGTAGGAAGAACTTGTTTCAAAAGAAGGGCTAATTTGGTTGGTTGAATGCTTCAAGGCATTTCAGTAAAATATGTTGTGAGAGTATAAATTATTACTTTGTTTTAATGGGAGATTTGAAACACTGATGCTAGATTAGGGTCCTGATATCAGTACCTGCATTGAACTACAGATATTTCAAAGTTTCAAAAAACCTCAGAAAACAGTTTAATTATTTTACAGTTATCGAGTGTAATGTGTGAGTCTGTTCAAATATCAAAAACTACCTGAGTCTTGATGGAGATTCTTAAGTATTACTAATCTAGAAATAGGTTGTTATTTTCAAATGTACTTAAAGGCTTTTAGAAGCACAATTTAATTTATTGACTGTGTGCTTCTTTATCACATGTAATAACTGTAACAAGTTCAAGTCAGATTTGATTTTTGCGGTGCTCCAGGAAGCAAAGGAATGCAATATTTTTAGATTTTAAATCCTGTTGGATTTCAACAGTAGTATAAATAATAATTACCTCTTTGGTAGAAAAATCCAGGTTCCTGTAACTAAAATAGCTTTAATGATGGAATGAAAATTGTAAAGCACCAATATTTGTACAGTTAAATGATTCTAGGTATGTACTAGTAAGCAGAAAAAAGCTCTATGGCGGAGTTTTTGGCACTCTGATCCGAAGCAAGTGTGCTGCTCCTACACTAGATTAGTTAGTGATGGGCTCAAATCCTGCAATTTAGATCAGGAATTAAAAATTTCAGTGCTGTTTACATGGGAGTTTAGCTTTAGCTCGCCTTGGTTATAAAGAGCAGTGAAAATGTGTAATGGTGCACAGTCTGTACAAAACATTTCTGCATTCTCTGCGTAGTCATTTCCTAACGGTCCACCAATCCAGGTGTTTTGGTGGCTGTGTCAGATAAGCATGCTAAAGATCACTGGAATAACTCAAATTTCCATAGGTATGCATAGAGAAAATAACATTACATCAGAATTGGAGGCATCCAGAACCTGTTCTTATGTGTAATCCAAGTTCTTAAATTTTCTCTGTGTGGATTTCCCTGTGTGGCATTCAGACAGAAAGATTTTATTGAAGGAACTCCTATAACTAGACTGACTATGACACTCTAATACCAGGGGTTGATCCACAGAATCACAACATATGGAAATCAACCGAAAGAGCATTGATACTTAACGGAATTTTGCTCAGGTATATTGTGCGGACTGCAGTTTTACCCAGTTAGGGACACGGACTATGCAAAGTTTGTGTAGAAATAAGCTTTATTCCTTCCAGGAGTCTGTGAATGACTGTCCTTGGCTAACAGTCTTTGGTAACATGGCTGTTCTTTGACTGCTAGAAGGAGAACATGAAAGAGCAAGAGGTGAATCCATGACCATAATTTATGTGCAGTTCAAGCACGCTTACAAATGCTACAGCAGGCAAGGAAAGTGTTAGAGAAGAGTGATACTTTCCAATTAGTTTTGAGAACTTGGGTCTTGTGTATTTCAGAGTTTTTATTTAAAATATGTTTGTGATGTGGTCTGATGTTAAAAAGGAAATGGCAAGAGTAATCCTTGATTCTGCATCATTCATTTTCATAACTTAGTCATACTGCTGTTTCTGAACAGCCTTTTAATTCCCTTTTCATTTACCAAAATGACAACTCTTCAAACTTTCTGCACAGGTGTTGTCAGTGAAGCCTGTCTTAAACAAGTAAGTATTAGGTTCAGTGTTGATCAGTGCCTCCTGCCATGCCTGAGGCCACTGAAAAGGCAAACACAATCTTCCTCAAGATTTTTGTGTATGTCTTTTTGAATATCTTGTGATTTCCCAGCTTAGATTTCTGCTTGTGCACGTGGAACTGTCTTCACTTCCACAACGCTCTCCCTTTTTGCTCTGTCCCTCGCTTTCCAGCCGTTGAACTGCGCTCCATTAGGCTTAGTCTGGTTACGGGAAGAGGCTACCTTTTGCAGTACCGAAAAAAATGACTGCTCAGACCAGCAGCGGTACTTTTTGTGGAGTTGTTTCTGCCTTTCCCTTCTGGAAATTTTGGATTTGTATTAACCGTGAAAAAGGTTTTCCATGCAGTTTCTGGCGTAACTCTGCTTGATGTGTGAAAAGGAAAAATAGTGTGCGGGAAACTGGCTTTTAGGTACAATTTACAGGCTTTCTAGAACAGAATCATTTCAGTATGCCGTTATTGTTCGGCATTGTTACACAAATTGTACCTCTGCAGGTTACCTTGTTTTGTGTTACTCTGGATCAGTCATTCACATTAGAGCTTGCAATGGTGTCTTCAAAGTCAGTGCCAGGACTTCATCTCTGTTGTCTTATAAATGTGAACAAATTTGGAAAAGGAGAAAATTATATCCGTGTGACTACTAAGATCAGCAGTGCTAATATTTTAATACACTAATTAAACAGATGTAGAAACAGTTTCTTTGCTCTAGTAGGTGGAAAAAACGTGTTAAAAATTTGTGCCAAGAACCTTCCTTTTTATCAATGTCTTTCTAACACTTCTCTATGTAAGCAGAACATTTGTTTCTGCTAAAACTAGTTCTGCTGCTTTGCTGGTTTTATACATGAATCCCCTCATCTTTGGAATGATTTTTTTACTCGCTCACTCTTCGCTTTTTCCCCTACCAGTAACACGGTGTATACCACAGTAATGAGCGCTGCATTTCCAGATAAGTACAGGACGTGGATCAGAACTGTGAAGTGAAGAGGTGTAAGTAGCATGCTGGTACTCTAGCTACTTGTATTTAAATAAAAATTTCAAGGAAAGAGTCATTGAGGGACAGAGCACTGCAGTGGCACTCAAGCGACCTAGTTTGAATTCCTGACTCTCCTTTGGTTTGCTTATTGACCTTGGGCAAATACCTTCCTTTGCTGTTTTAGAGATAGAGTTAAGTACTGACTTTCTTCGCAAAATCTTTATTGTGTCAGGAAAAGTGCTTTATCAGAGAGAAGAGGGTGGGGGGTGTTAGGACCTAAAGGTAGCAGTTCCCGATATGAAGGTTTTAGCTATTATTTTCACAAGTCTCACTCCTGTGAAACATACCACGTGTCTTCAGGAGCTTGATTATGACAAGGAGTCATACCATAGCGAACTGAACCCCAGCAGGAGAGGGCTGTGCACTTGACCCCAAGAAGGATCAAGCTTAGTCTATGACAGCCCCTCACAGACAACTGACCGTCAGCATCCTCTGAGGGTTTTGTCCTGTAGACTTACAGAAAAATCAAAGTGCTTGAACCCCCAGGGTGCTCAACATCATAGCTTTGATGTATTCAGAGGAAGGTATTAGGTTATGTGGATTTCTGTTCCAAGAAAGAGTCAGGTAGCTTGGAGCTTGGCAGGAGCATGAGAAGCTGCATTCTCGTTTGAACAGTTAATTTTTGAACTGTTGTTGTATCTTACTGGTAGCAGTTGTATTGGACATCTGATTACAGAGGGATTAATTCCTTTCCTTTGGAGATTCTAAAGAGTTTGCCTTCTTTCCTGACAAACCTATGCTCTCTTATTTATCTGTCTTTTTATTTACTTCAACAGGCAAAATGGGTGAAAAGTTGAAGGTTTCCAAGACCAGCACACGCTTTTAAAATTACTCTTAAAAGCACTGCATATTAATTACATGAACCATTCAGGTAATGACTTGTTAGTTCTTTAATGTGTTACCAGATGTTGTTAATGAACTGTAGTGGAAGTTTGATTTTATTTTAACTACATTAATATTCTAGCAGGTGTTTATGGCTAAAGGTATTTTTACTATTTCTGGAAATAGTTGTGCGATTTGAATGTACGGATGTAATTACTAATAAATAAAAAGTTTATATTTTTACTTGGCCTGTAGGTCTGAATATAATTAAATAAAAAGATGCAGCTGATTTATGAAGACCCGTGTTGTTGCTGTTAATGTCATAGTCCTTTTCTCTGACATATGATGGGCCTGTGACCCTGAGCCCATCAGGGCAGAGGCTATGTCCAGAGAGAACTGGCCTGAGTGCCAGGGCAGGCTAGGGGAGCCTGCAGACCAGACAGAACTCTCCTGAACCCTGTGACAGTTCTATTACAGTTACAGAACGGGGTTGCTGCAGGTCCTCAGATCTTTTAATCCTGTGTCGAACTGCATCCGTTTGGCCATCCTGCCCTGATGTGCTCTGTGGGCCCTTCCTCGACACAGAAATTGTTGCATCAGTGCAGGGAACGTGGCTCTGAGCAGTGTGGATTCCACTGCAGACAGTGTCTCTCCCCTTCAGTTGTGGTTCTCCGGTGCATAGGCCCCTAGTTTTTACTAGGGTTGTGAAAGGTGACTGAGAGGCATGTAGTCTTAAGGAGGCCCCTAAATAATGTTAAAAGCCCTTGTCTTCTAGTAGTAGGTAAGGTGTTTAACCACAGTAGACTTTTCAGTCAGTTGAAGAAGTGGTTATTTGGTGTAAGGCAATGAAATGTGGCTAGAAGGAGTAGCTCTATATGTAGCTGTAGATTATTGTGATTTTATTCATCAGAAATCCAGAGTTGTTTAAGGAGACAAGATAATACAGTTTTTTTCTTCTAACAGATGAGAGAAGCCTGTGATGTGATAACAGTGACATTGGAAAAGGGATGAGCTTTCTCTAGAACACAGAGGTTTTTAGGTTTGTCTGCTTATGTTGTGCCTGCATACAGTCAATTCACGCACTTCTTGAAAGCACAGCCGAAATACAGAAGGGTTTGAGGAGTCAAGACCAGTGGATACGTTCACATAAAGCTTAAAGGCTTGATTCTTCATTGGACAAAATTCCCACGAATGTCGGTGAGAATTTCACCTGGGAGAGGATGATGCTATCAGACTGTTAGGTCTTCAAATGGAAAGTTTCTCCCATGACCTGGAGCGCCTTTGGTAATGTCTCATGTATCCAGCTTGGTGTATGTTTTACTTTGTGACAAGAGCCCCTCTTCCCCCATAGTTCCTATGAGTGATAAAACAGGAGGAAATATTCTGACAGCGTAGTAGGATGTAGGAAGAATGCTCCCCTGTGAGCGAGGTGAAGGGTACAGGGGGTGCATTCCTGAAGCCGGAGCACGATTTCCAGATACTGCCTGCAGTATTTGTGCATGGATTATGCAAACTTCCTGAGAGCGCCTTCTGGAGATGTGGGCCCTTTATCGTCTTGCACTGAGTCTCACTAAGTGTCATAACCTACTTACCTGCATCCTCTACTTCTGCCTGGATAAATGCACTGCAAGCTTTGCCTTGACCCAGTTTGCACAGTGATGTTATGAGGAGTCCTATGACCTAACTGATGCAGTTGAAAAACAGAGGTTTCCTGAAAGAAGATACAGAGGAGATCACACACCCTTTGAGATTTCATATTGATATTGCTTTAATTCACAGAGCAGACATGGACTCCTGATCCCAGCAAGTTTTCTTTATGTAACAGCCACCCACAAGTAGAGACGAAAAGGATCCTCCCTTGTGTAATTTAGCATAGTCGTCTTGACCTCCTCAGCAGCGGTAGGCTGATTAGCTTCTGGCAATGGTGTGGCCAGTTTCTCTGTAGTTTATGAACTAATCAAATATATTCATTTCCATGTGTAAAAACAGATCTGGAGTATATAAATATTTGTTATCCATGAATATTCAGCAGCCAAATAGAAATTCCTGTCCTGTTCATCTCATCAGCTATTCAGAACTTGCTTAGGCCCAGTCACAAAGTAGAATATTGCAAAAATATTTTTTTTTTTTTTGGATTTTAAACAAGAAAGGAAACTAGATTTAAATAAGTCAATTTTATTTTGCCTTTGTAATTTCTAATTTTTTTAGCAGAAGTCTTGCATTTCATCAGTTCATAAACCTTCAGACATCCTGATTCACAACAAAACAAAGCCTATATGTTAATTTGAATAGGGTTTTTTTGCTAACCAGGAGGATATTTAACTTTCAGGTCTTAGCAGTTTAATTACATTCTAAAAAATATAAACGCTAAGCAAGTGGTAAATGATGTATCTTATGAAATAGATGATTTAACCTGTGAGATGCGTATTGAGTTGCTTTTGTATAAGGATTGAAATTTGATGAAAATGAGGGTCAACATTTTTAATAGCTTAAATAAAACCATTTTAACAATTCTGGATACGTAAGAAAACATGAAGTGTAACACTGATAGTTTTTTAAAGGATTTGTATTTTTTGCAGGTTTTTGTTTTCTGCTTTTAAACAAAAGGAAGGATCATTTGTAGATAACTGAACTGCTTGCTGGTCGTCCTTCTGCTTGTGATTTCATCTGCTTTGGGTGTCCTTTTTTTAGAGATCAGGAAGCAAAAGAGCTTTTCAGTTTTCTCAAGCCCAGTCAGTTCCTCAACGTAGAATTTATAAGTAAATAAATAGAGCTAAGATAAATAATTTATCCTTGCATTTATCCTGTTGCTTCTGCACAGCAGACTCCCTATCTACAAACACCAAAAAATTTTTCTGCTCAGTATCCGAGCTGAGTGAAACCGTTACAAGCATCTAGAAGAAAAAGAATGGTTAACAAAAGGCAACTGGAAAGTGTGTAAGAGCTGGTTTGTCTTCTAAGATGAGAGAGGCCAATGTATTGCATTTCTCATTCATAATCCCCCTCAGTAATCCTAATCCATTTCAGATCTGTGGCCTTTCTTAAGCATCACATGGGAGGGTTCTTAAGGCTGCTCAAAACAACTGTGCAGTAAATAAATTGAAGGGTCTGCACTTGTTGCAGAACAACACACACATCTTGTACTGCAAGTGCTAAAAGAAATGGGAGTTTCCACTGAGTGGCCAAGGGAACAGCTTGTTTGATAATTTAGGTGTCTGAGGAGGAGTTTCTGAATCTAACCAAGTAAATCACTTAAAAGATTAATGATCATTTTGAATATTGAATGCTGGTTATATAAGCATACAAACCAAACAAAAGCTAAAAAAAATATTGGAGTGCTTCTATGCTGTTTATCGTTAAGTTAGAAATTGGTGGCAAGGTAAGTTGTATTTTTCATTTTGTTTTCTCTGTAACAATGTTTTGTGTGCAGAAGGAAATACTAAGCACCCATAGTTTGAGGTGAAATATCCTTGGTCATACGTCAGACTACATAAAATTATGGTTGGGAGTTTTTAACTGAAATTCTCATTTTTTGGCATTGCAGTAACTGTTCAGGTGCAGAGGTCAGTGCATGTGTAAAATAAAAGAAGCTTCACCTTCTTGTTTCCAGCTACGAGCAGCGCTGAATCGGATGCACACACAGGACATAGGTATTTACCCTAGGAAGTAAAGGCAGGATCATCACTTCCATTAGTGCTAGCTAGCATCTTTATTCTTGTGGGACTTGTATTGGAGGTTTTTTTTTTATTCATTAAATGACCTGTTGCCTTTTTTTCTTTTAGCAGAACTTAAATTTGTTTCCTTCTCTCACCCATTTTTTTCACTGTTTTTTCCTAGTAAGCTCTTGTTGAGTCTACCCTGTCCTCTCGTTGTCTTCCAGATTTATGTTTCTGTCCAAATGTCTGTGAAATTGTTAAGACAGTGGGGATTCTGCTGTGTATGTGAAATGTGTCATCTTTCCTAGGAGCCCTGGTTTTTTGGGGAGTTAGCTGTTTCCTGTACCAGAGCAATCTGGTGCTCCTTGCAGAGGCCTTCATTTTACATGGATGGAGCACCACATTCTGTGCAGATCTGTACTCTGAGCAAGCTCAGTGATGTGATGGCACGTGTAGAATTTGGCTCAAAATGGTTTC